TATTATTGTTATTATTATTAATTAATTATTTATTTATTTTTAATTTGAATGGTTACAATGTTAACTTTTTTTGGCTTTTCTTTGGATATCAAATATTTCTAATTGCTTTATATTTTACCATATTTTCTCTTTTAGCTGTGTTTTAAAGATTTAATATTCTTGTTGCTCAGTTCTCAGGTTCTTATCCGACCCAAATCTTCTGTTATGTTCAAGGATGGAAAAAAAACACAAAAGTATATTTATAATTGCATAAGACATTTTTAATTATCAGCAACTTACAAATTTATCAGATTGCCAATTTTTATTTTTTTTTTACCACGCCATAAAATAGAACAATATCTGCTAGTTTTCCATTATAAAAAGGTATCACACATTCAGAATATTATTCATTTTGTGCCCGTCAGAATTTATTATCTTAATTGGCTTATGTGCAGTAAAATCAACTAATAGGCGAATTGATTATTTCAGCTCTGCATCAAATTATCACACTAGCTTGATCTTTGCTTGAGATTAAAATTAACAACTACTGCAATTTGTTTCAGGGTGTTTTAAAATGTTCAGGAAAAGAAGATATGGTTCTGCTGTAGAACCTGTAAAACCAATTCTGACGGGAAAAATAAATTACTGCCTTGCTTTGTGTTTTTTCACTTTTATCAGCCTCAGTGTTGTGTAAGCTGCTCCACACTGAGTACCTTAAATGTTACTGAAATTTAACCACGGTGTTTAACGAATGCGCAGCGCTCGGGTTCAGTTAAACATGACAAAGTTGAGTCTACAGTAGGGGAACTACAGTGCAGTAGTTTACTTGCTTGTTATCAGGGCTTTAGGAGGAAGTAGACCTGCTACGCTGAGCCTGAAGGTGAGATCAGATTTGTCAGAGTGTAGTTGTCTTTTCCTCCCCCCTCCAAGGCAGTCATTAACACTGGCAGGAAAGAGGAAGAGGGTGAGAAAAGAGTAGGAGTGAAAGATTGACTCCTAACGTCAGTGTGTTATTGCTAAGAGTGCATTATTCCTTCTTGGTGTGAGATTTTCAGCCATAGCCAGTTTTAATAACAGCTGTGTGGAAGTATTATGACTTGTCAATTTAAATGATCAACATAATGTGAAATTGGATTATCAGCTAATAAATCAGTTCATCGTGTATTTATGTTCTTGCTCCTGGCAAGTGCTGACCCAACGCTGACCTTACACGATCAGTGCCGTCCTTTTGTACGCTAGACGTCCTTGAACGAGAGCGCTGTTTACTCCAAGTGTTTTGGATTTTATCCTCCTGCGGTAAAGCCCTCGACTTGATGAAAAACAGAGTCCATCTTTAACGTGGGCAGGAAGAGGTCTTTCTCTTTGTGGTCACTCCCCAGCTGCCTGCCCAGAATTGACACAGTATTCACTTTTTTTTTTTTTTTGCATTTTGATCATTCTGTCTCCCTGTTTATTCTTTACTTACCACTCACAGCCTCCTGAAATCAGACCTTTCTTGATCTTATGTCTGGACCAAACAATATTAATTAATTAAGAAATTACACAAAATCCAATACAATAATAATGTGCAGCCCATCTCTGCTTTAACCGGTCAGAGCTAAACACTATATCTAATCAAAAACTTTTTATCCACAGAAGAAGATTTTAGATTTGAAGAGGCTTCACGTCTTCACTGTGATTCTAAGTCTCTGTGTCGTTAAACGGATGGAGACACAGCAACCAATATATCGGTTAAGCCAAATATAGTTTCTAATTTCTTCTGTTTTAGTTTGATTCTCTGCCTCACAGACTTGTTTGCTCTTTTTGTTCACCTCACTCCTACAATCAGGCTGTGCAGATAAATGAATGCACAATTGTGACAAAGTGCAAGACTGTGTGTGACTCACACAGCAGTGTTTGTCTTTCAGTGCATCAGCTGGAGGGAGACAAAGATTACGAGACTGCTGTTTGAACTGAAACTAGGAAATTGTGCCGAAATACAAACCTACAAACTGACCAACTAGAAAATGTACATGGTTTCCATTTGTTGTTGGACCATTTAATGTTGATTATATCACCCGTTAGCTATAGAATACAGTATGTATTTTATTGTCTTTGATATTTTAAGCAGTTATTCCATGCATCATAAACACTAGAAAACAGAATTGTTACAAGCAATAATAAGTGATTAACCCCAACTGTTATCTAACTTGCATGTTTTAATGTCCATAAAATATAATATTGAATATTTATTTTTGAATTTGTTCATTTTTCATTTGTTTTATTTTTAGTACATGTCCAATAATTTTATGTCAGTCGTTTAAGATTATCTTTTTTTTTTTTTTTTTGGTGCCTTTTTACTTGTTTCAACTAAAACCCATCTCTAACTCGGGTTATTTACTTATAAATCAATGTGATTTCAAAATTAACTTAAAATACTTCATTATTTAATGTAAAACGTTTGTCCTGTGACATTTTTGACAAGCTGTTGATTTAAGAACCTCCATTTGTGTTTTCTGTGCTAGAGCTGAGCCAGCCCATCTGGTTGTTGACAATTTCCATTCTCCTCCTGCAGGGACATCATGATCACACATTTTGAACCATCCATATCATACGAGAACCTTTACGGGGAGGTGAAGGACATGTGCTCCATGGACAACGACCAGCTCTTCACCATGAAGTGGATCGACGAGGAAGGTATGCTTCCCTGTCACTTCAGCCTTCACCGTTCTACCGTACAACCAGTGAAATGTTGTCTGCGATAACTTGTGTGACAAATTTAGAGGTTATATTTCCCTGATGCAGCGTCTTGTCCGTACAGAAGCATCCAACTCTCCTCTTCAGTTTTGTGTCGGACAGTTTGTCAGGCAGCAGTAATTGTGTCATAGGAAAGATTGAGCCGTCGGAGAAGGTCAGCCTGCCAAAACTCATTAGAGTCAGAGTCCAGCTCCCACAGACAATCACCGGAGTCGTCAGCGTGCGTCAGTAATAAAATGTTAAGTGGTTTTTACCAAGTGCACTGTTCAGATATGCCTCTCTCCTGCTGTCTCAGCCATTGTGTCACATGAACTTATGCAATCAGTGTCTAAATAATTTCAAAATAGTTCTGGGAAAAATACTAAATTTCACTGACATATTTTAATATTAACCTAAATATTGTTGTTGAGGAAAACTGGCGGATATTTATTTTCACACAAGTGCTCGACTTCATCGTGTCATTTATTCAGCTTTATGATGCCACATTTAGGTTGTTTATGTAAAGAACATGTTGTGTTATGTTGTTTATTTGTCATATGCAGGTTAATGCAAGGTCAACAGTGCAATGAAATGTTCAGGATGGGAAGAACTGATTTGATTCACTAAAATAACTGTGCAAGTAGGATGAATTTGTATGAATTAGTATTTCATAGGTAGTAATTTAAGCTTAATTGCACATGGTATATATTGTACATAACTAACAAACTACACAGATTGTGTGACAGGTTATTCCACAGGTGGTGAGTAACATTGAGATTAATTGAATTATGATGGTAAGGTACATGATATGCGTATGTGACATACATGACATATGGCATGAGATTTGACATACTTGGGCAGCCGACTTGGAACCCAAAAGTCCCAGGTTCAATCCCCAGCCATTCCTGCATGTCGTGGTGTCTCTGAGCAGGACACCTAATCCCTAATTGCTCCCCGGGCGGCAGCGCTTACATAGCTGCCCACTGCTCCACCTGGGTGTATCCCAGGTGCAATGGGTTAAATGCAGCGAAATAATTTTGCCATTGTATGGGAATATACAATGCCAACAACACATATCGCTTTATTTATTTATTATACTGTATACATGATACAGACACACGTAGTGCAGCAGCAATAAACATATTAGGTGTCACAGATGTGGCTTAGTGCAATGTTATTGTCAATTGTTCAGTATTATCAAGAGTTCAGTAATCTGACGGCTTAGGAATAATAACTGTCTTTGAATCTTTTTGTACGCAATGAGAGACTCCTGTATTATCTGCCTGAAGGTAGTAAATGGAATAGTCCTTGTGCTGGGTGGGTGTGGTCCTTAATGATGCTGTGTGCTTTACGCGGACACCGGCTGTAGTATGTCCTGGATGGTGTGGATACTGCTACTTGTGATGTCCTCTGCTGTTTCAGAGTAGCCTATGCAGAGATGGCTCACTTTGAATTATGATGGATGAATAAAAGTACAAAACTCCATGTAGTGAAGCCAAGAAAGACGAATGTATGACCTTAAAATGTATTTTGATTTAGTCTTTTTCAGTTAAAGCAGATGCTGTGCTTTAAAGAGTAAAGAATTGTGTGAAAGAAACCATTGAACAAATAAAACTTTGACTTGTTCAACATTTTTATGCTGCAGTTCATTTTAATTTCCAGTACATGTCAGAGTTTCTGTTCCTCTGCTTATTACTCCATGAACACTTTGTCACTGTCAGGGAACCATATGAATAAAAACTAAATGGTGGCTTTAGTGTCGGCTGATCTTTCCATTTGATATTAATGTGCATCTTGGTGGCATTTTGAACAAATTAAATTAAACCAATGGCAAAATCATTTACTGCATTCTCCCATATAGTTCCCGCTTAATTCAATTTTTACATAAGTCATGCATTGGAGTTAGCACTATTCTGTTAAGTAAACTGTTTATTTTGTCACACTTCACACTGTGTAGGTCACAATTTTGCCCATTTATCTTTGAAACCAAAAATACAGAATAATTTTTTCACGCTAACCATCTCAAAAAAAGCCTCCTTCTTTTTTCTTTTCTTGCCAGTGAGCCTTACATACTCTCCAACGTTACATCACTTTAAACGTCTCTTCTAATATATTATTTGGACTCCACTCTAATGTATTGTGGGAGACAGTTTATTTACACAGATCAATGTTTGTCTCATTTTCCCTGCAAATAGATGTCTTATCACCAATTTAGTTTGTAAAAGCTCCATGAAAAAGTAGCCGGTGTTTGTGAATGTGCTTTGCAATGGTGACCAGTATTCATGAACTACTAAAATGTTTAATATGTTTTGCATGGATCTGTAAACGCCACATATGTGCTAAATGCATCTTTATGATTGCCAGCAGTCATCGTAACAGGAGAAGAGAATAACATCCTGCTGTTTCCACCTTTTACTTGATTTCTTGCATTAAATTAAATTATTTTCTTATTTTAATTGTATGTCTCTTCTCTGCTGCCAGGTGACCCCTGCACCGTGTCTTCCCAGCTAGAATTGGAGGAAGCTCTGCGCCTCTATGAACTCAACAAAGACTCGGAGCTCATTATTCACAGTGAGTTTTTTTTTTTTTTCCCCACGCAGACATTTTGTTTACACGCGTTTAGGATCTGAATGGAACCTGTCAAGAGGATTCCAACCAGGTTCTTGGGCCGCAGCCAAGAAAACTGCACATTTTGCTCTTCTGCTGCTCCTGTTGGGTCCGGTATTACAAGTTGACAGCATAAATGTATGTTCTATTTTTGATTAGTAAGGGACATCTCATGAGACCTCAGGTCCAGGATTGTAGTGGCTGAGCTTTGCCATGTTAAATATCCAGTTTGGCAGATGCAAAATATAATAATGTAGTGGTTATGTACCAGTATTTTGTGCTCTTTGTTAATATTTGACAGGCCTTACTAAATATACCAATCATCAAAATAAATATATATTCTGCATATTCTTACTACCCCATAAAAAACTTTTGCTTTTTGTTGTTGGGGAGTTGATGTTAAATACCTGATACAGTTGTAGTTTTCAACAAAATAAACAACTATTTTGTTTCCATGCAATACAATTGTTTATATTTTTTAAGCAGTTTAGGTATTTTAAAAACAATTTACAGTTCTTTGTCACATTATTGTCAAGCAGTCGATGGCCGCCCTCAACGCTACATATGGTATTTGGTGTATGTGCTAATTGTTGCACCCCAAGTGTAGACTGTGCAGTCAGGGCATCACTGTGTGTTGGTGTGTAAAAGCAGCAAACGGAGGGTGTCTTTAAAATAAATGACACTGGTGTCATAACCATCTTTGATACATTTCTTCAGGGAATAAGAATTCAGCTTTAGTCCTGTGTGAACAGAGCATTTAGATGCTCACAATCAATTAAATAAAAAACATGTTTGTTTGCAGCTTTCTTTGACTTTTCAGGTCTGTTTGCATTCATGTTTCTGGCTTTTGTATACAGGCAGTTACTACACAACACAGAAGCATTGATCAATGCCTGTAAAAAGAGTTTTTTAGCTGCTGATGTCTGTCCTTTTAGCTCGTGAGCTTGTTCACTTCCCTATCTGAACCTGTTGACAAATAGTTGTTACTTCTTAGATTTGCAGTGAGGGGTAATTCAAATATTTGAAGTGTTGAGGGTTTCAAAGCTCGAGCTCTGTGCGATGTAACCTTCAGATGGCAGCGTGAGCGATGGAAACTGATTAACGTAATGTTTTAATCAAATCTGAAGTGCCAGGTCAGGAGTGCAGTGGATGCCACTGTGAAGGCTGGAGATGAATTTAGGTGGAGGTGTTAAAAAGAGGATATATGAGGGCCCCAGGGGGCTGCCAGGTCTTCGCATTAACGAGCTCGTCGGCTCGCCTCTGACTCACACCGCTCCAGGTCTAGGTCATCTCCATGTCACAGACTACTAAAAGGTTGTTTGTTTCCTATTTTTCTGTAAGTGGTGCACAAAAACACACTTGTTGGTGAATTTCATTAGGATTTGCTTGAGGCAAAAAAAAATTGCCACAGGTTATAAGTGTTAAAAACACTTATAGTGGTTGTTGTAACCTTGGCTGTTCTACGCTTTGAAAAGTTTCTCTTTGTATCATCTGTGGTACTTAAGCTGTTAGGACAGTACCATAGCGCCTGAAATGCTGCTGAAATTTACTCAGCATCATCAAAACAGCCTCACATGACAACTGCTGACCTTATCTGCCTCGTCACGTGAACAAGTTTTCTTAAAGATATTTCTGCTTTCTTTCCAGTTTTTCCATGTGTACCTGAGAAACCTGGCATGCCGTGTCCAGGAGAAGACAGTAAGTTTAATCGTTTCCACTCTTAAGATTTGCTAAATTTATATAACCTACTTGTAATTAACACTTAAGACTCTTTCTTTCAAGTTTAAAGGCTCTCAAATAACGCTTTATTCTGGTAAATTTAATAAAAGCCTTTATTTAAATACGTGTGCTCAAAACTTAGCATAATTTAGATCCTGAGCTTTTTAAATTAGTTTGTAAATCATTTTTTGAAATAGTTTCCGAGCATGTGGTAGTAGTTCATGTTTCATTCGTTAGCTGTTCTGCTCAGTTGTTTCTCTCGGTTCTTGGAAAAACAAGTACTCTGGCTCAGATAAAAACACTTAGGCGTAGATTTTCTGCATCTTTGAAGGATAATTAAATAAAATTAATAACACCAGTGCCGTTTAATCTAAAAATCTGCCCACTGCAAAAAAGAAAAATATTTTAAAGTAGTTTATCAGAAAATACTGACTGTATTTTAACAGATGGGTTTTTTTGACCATGTATTGGTGATGTAATGTCAGCTTAACGAGCCTAATCAATTATAGTTTCTGAGGCTCTTTAGCTGCTTTATCTTAGAGATCAATTTGCTAATTTGGTTAATTAACAAATTGTGCTAGTAAAATTTTCCCTCAAAATGATTAACGTTAACATTTATTTACTTAAAAAAATGATTGGAATACATTTACGTTTTGTTTTTTTACAAGCCTGCAATATTTTGTTTTCTTGTAATAAATGTTTTAAAATCCACAGGCTTTTGGATTTATTCTGAATATATTTTACAAAAACAACATGTTGTGTCATAAATCTCCAAAAGTTGTACTATGAAATGTAAACAATGAGATGGTTCATGTGTTTAAATCAAATCCTGACGATGCTCCGGCAGGAAAACGAGGTTTGCGTTGAACCGATTGTCTTCAGGTTTTGATTTAATTTTTCAACAAACAAATCTGTATGAATTTGTTGAAGCTATTATTTTTTTTTCTCCACAGAGTCCATATATCGCCGCGGCGCTCGGCGCTGGAGGAAGCTCTATTATGCGAGCGGACATGCCTTTCAGGCCAAACGGTTTAACAGGGTGAGACCTGAATCTAAAAACAGATTCTTTAAGGTTGCTAAGATTTGTGTTGTTTTTGTTTTGTTTCAAAATGTTCTTTCTGATCAATACAAATGTATTTCATATTTTGTGGATTGCTATAAAGGTACTGGTTCAGGGAATACAGTATTTATGTGTTGTGTAAAGCTTAGGGACAGATTCATGCAAGCTAGCAGTCTTTTTTTCTAAAGCAGAATATTTTATTTTTAAAATATAAAGTGGAAATAATTTTTTTTTTTTTTCTATCCAACCCTCGGTGCAGCGAGCCCATTGTGCCATCTGTGCAGATCGAATCTGGGGTCTGGGAAGACAAGGTTACAAATGCATCAACTGCAAACTGCTGGTGCACAAGAAGTGCCATAAACTGGTCACGATGGAGTGCGGCAGACAGATGATCCAGGTGAGATCTGTGACAATCGTCATGCTCTTTATTTCAGAGTGATCCTTAAATTGGACATAATGTAGAATTTATTATTATATATTATTAATTACTGATGAATGTTGTCCAGGAACCAATTATGCCCAGCCCACCATCGAGTCAGTCATCAGACGCAGCTAATCACCAAGGTAACACGCAAATACACACAAAGAAATCCTTTAACTTTAGAGGGAAATGATTTATTGATGTTTAGAAGTGCAAAGAAACAAACATCATCTGAACTGTTCATCTTCTGAAATGCATGCGAAACCTTTAGACTTTTATTCTATGAAAGGACTGTTTATCAGCTCTCCTGAGCTTCTAATCTTGTATCTTGTCTGACTGTACATTTTTAACAACACACCACAAACATGCATTTTGTGTTAAGATGTCGATATTTTGCATCCAAAGTGTCAGATTTTCTCCTGGTTTTCCTGTAAAGTGGCCTTGAGCTGTTATATTCAAGGTGTTTGAAGATTTTTCAGGTTTATTTTTCACAGACCACTTTTCAAATCTGGGTTATTAAAGTTTAGCTGCTCAGCACTGATCCTCGACTCATTCAAGCACAAAAAAAGGCCACCTAGCTCGAGATGTAGGATGTAGTTGACTCCACTCTTAACATTAAGCCTTTGAAAGAATATCTTGAATAATAGTTTATTTTGTTGCATCTGCAACAACTTACAAAAGAGAGCTTCTTTTACTGGCATGCAGTAGTATTTTTGCAACAATAATACATGTCTTCTACAATTGTGCCACTTGGGGTGGCTGCATGTTGGAGTAGCTGTTACATTCATTCTGAGATTTTGCTTTTGGAAACTTAAATTCCTCCTTTTCTGGATGTAAATCAACTTTTTTGGTTGATTGTTTCCTCTGGTATCAGATTCTGTGCAGCTGGAAGGATTTTTACTGTAACTTTTTTTACTTTTGGACATTTGTTATGATGCGTAACCATGACAACAAGGTGGTTTCTACACCTGGGAGCAGCCGATTAACATCTCAAAAGCTCAAATAATACCTCAACCACAGCCCCAAATGTCAAATGAGTTGAAAAAGGAAGTGCCGTAGATGCAATCCCATCTCCCTTCCGGCTGTGCTCAAGTGCCTGAGCACTGAGATCCTGGAACAGGTAGAAAACATTGCTCATGACAGCAAGGACCAGGATTGTCTCCTGACACCTGCAGCCGGCTGTCTGCATTGACGAGGAGCTCAGCAGCTGCTGGGAAGAGAGGCCATCACTCAGGGAGGAATTCTTCCTGGGATTCGGGTGGTCCTGCAGCCCGGTGGAACCGAGAGGCCAGCCGAGTCTGGGTGGACGGATCGGACGGCGTCTGCGGTCATTTTCTTCGGATCCACTGTGGGACGAACGTATACAAGAGATACTTCCTGCCTGCAGCCATCCTTATCTATAACATCTCTTAATGAAACAAGGATAATGAGTGACAAGAACATTTAATTTCCTTTTGGGATTAATAAAGTATTTTTGAATTGAATTGAATTAAATACACAGTGTAGTGGCTGACCTGTTTCTGAAGCAGATAAACAGTATTTAGAAATCACATCCTTGGGGGTGGGGGGGGGGACAAAACTGACATGAGAGATCCTTCATTTCCTACATCTGCTGCAAATTTGGTCCTTTAATAGCTCTTGAATAAAACAATAAATCTTGTTTAAAACTGTTTTTGTTAGAATAAATTTGTTGTTGCTTTTAGTGTTTTTGACAAATATATGGAAAAAAAGACAACATATATAAAAACTTGCCTTTTTAAGAATAAATTTGTTGGCCTCCTGGCTCCAGTTGAACCACCTCGACAAGTTGTTCAGATGCATTTAGGGGGTTTCTGTGCAACACCAGACTTAAGTCCAATCAGGTGGATGAGAGGTTGACTGAACTCGGAGCTTAGGATTGTTGTTGCTATTGATAGAGAAGCAGCTGACACTCTGGCTGTGGATGCCTCTAGGCCACCCGGGGCGTTTTGTGAAAACATCAGAATCACATTCACAATCGTGCATTTTTTTTTCTGCATTATTAAAAGCGTCAGAACAAATGTGAGGTTTTTTGTTTTTTTTTTTAACTGAGAAAATTTTCTCCGGCTCTGCACAGACTTGTGAACAAAGCGTGTGACTGTCTCGCACATATTTTCTCTCCTCTTTCTCCTTTCTCCTCCTGCCTCCCCCTCTCCTTATGTATGTCTGTCACTGTGTCTGTCACTTTCTCTGCACTCATCTTCCTCTCCTCTCTCTCCTTCAGGCCCTCAGAATAAAGACTCCAGAGAAAGCTTGAATTATGATGGAGTGGAGAAAGAGGTGAGAGAAACCTTTGGAAACGCTGTTGATTTGTGATTACATTTAATCATCCTTAGAGACAGAAACAGTTCAGGTAGGAAAATAAAACAGGGTAATGTGTAATTAGAGGGATGATAATAATCTATTTGTTCATGATGTGCATTTGGGTGTTCAGTTTTTTACCTGTGTATCTATTTTAGAGAGCATTCATGCACCCTAGCAGTGTGGTAGGTATTGATTTCCTTTGGTCAAGCTAATTAAATAACCCCTTTTTCACAGCTTTTAGCGTAAGAGACTGATTTATGGTTTCAAACGATATGTGGGGTTCTGTATTTGGGGTTAGGGCAAGTCTTTTCTGCAGATATTTTTCTGGCTCTTAGGATGAAGTTCTCTCAGGAACAGAGGTGTATTGGATAGGATTTCAAAGTAGTCCACTACAGTGATGATTATATAAAAGGAGGAAAGAAGGGCGAGGAAATGGAGAAAGTGGGAGTCATGTTTACAGAGAAGTATAACTGCAATATGGCCGCCTAAACTAATGGAATCAGCATGTTGGGTTTTTTTTTTAATTGGATGAGTGAAAATCATTACTAAGATTTATTCTCTAAAAGTTCAACAGGGAGGGGGTTTCAATCTCATTTACAAAGTCACCCAAAGGAAATCATCCTCTTGTCTAAACCAGATCATCATCTCTGTCAATAATTTATGGATGAAATTATATTGAGAAATCTTGATGAGCACAAATGATTCATTTCGAATTGACTCGCGTGGGGTTGTTTACTGTTTGAACGCTATTATTTTACGGACTTCTCATCAATGTGTTCTGCTCCGGCGGTAATTACCCCCCAGGCGCGGAGCAGCGGAGTCACTGGGAAGTCGACCTCCAGCCTGGGCCTGGCAGACTTCGAGCTGCTACGGGTGATCGGCAGAGGCAGCTACGCTAAGGTGCTGCTGGTGCAGCTGAAGAAGACGGAGCGCATCTACGCCATGAAGGTCGTCAAGAAGGAGCTCGTCAATGATGATGAGGTACTGATGCCCGATTTACCTCTGCAGTTTTTGTTTTTTTACTCTTTCAGGATGCCACAGGCAGAGGTTAGAAACGAGTTACACTTTGGCCTGTATTGGTGAGGTAACGAGTTTTTGTGTATGAAATTAACAGAGTTATCACTTTGAGTTATTTATAGTGTAAAGAACATCTGTGTCATGATTGAGCACTGATATCATGTATCGTTCCTGAAACCCTTTACTAACTTGACAGTCCTTTTTAGAGCCATCAGTTTTACTAAGAAGATGTAGATAAATCATCGTCTCATCAGAAATTGATCTCAGGCAACACGTGTGGCAGCTCAGCCAGCGGAAACACGAGTAGTTAGCCTTGATTAGAAGCACTTAGCATGATTGACAAATTGACAAGCGCCTCTCGATCAATGCTCAAGTGTTGTGCTGTCAGCGTGAGTAGCATCCGTGTCCAGACGCATTATCTTCCAGACGTTGATGGCACCTGCGTCTGCTTCTCTTAGCTCCGCCTTTTTCTTCTGCAGCTGGAAGCCTTCGACACGACCCCAAGCTTTTGTCGCACGATCGATGGGACTCGCTGCTTATTCAGCTTTTATAGTTTCAAGGGTACTATGTTAGAATGATCCCTGATTGACGTTTGGGTGTGTTTTTGTGTGTTTCTCTTCCAGGACATTGATTGGGTCCAAACGGAAAAGCACGTCTTTGAGCAGGCCTCTAATCATCCGTTCCTGGTCGGCCTTCACTCTTGTTTTCAGACAGAAAGCAGGTGAGACTTCTTCCCATTATTTAAATATTTTTTTAACAGTTTTTTTTTATTTATTTTTTTTATTTTTATTTTTTTTGCATTTAAGACGTAACATTCTCACAAAAAAAAACCTTCCACCCCATCCCTCTCACACCAGATCAGTCATATATATATAAACAAAAACAAATCACACAAGCACTTACAAGTTTTTCACATATGCCACAAAGGGCTGCCACGTGTCTCAAAATCTTTTTGCGCAACCCTTCAGGGTATGTCTTATTTTTTCTAAATGAATGTGGTACGTCATCTCTTTTGTCCATTGCACATATGTTGGGGTGTGTGGGTCCTTCCAGTTGCACACAATTAGCCTCCTGGCCAGCAGAGAGCCAAAGGCAATCACATCCTTCTCACTCGTGCTGAAGGACATATCCACCCGGACCACCCCGAACAGTGAGATGAGTGTACAGTTTTGCCACATACTCCAGAGACGGTGTCAAATATAGATTGCCAAAAATTTGGCAGCTTGGAACAGGTACAGAATGTATGCAGGAGTGTAGCTAGAGTTCGTCTGCAACGGTTGTATGCTGGGTCCAGATCGGCCTTGATCTTGGACAGCTTGTCTTTGGACCAGTGCAGCCTGTGCACCACCTTGACTTGAATTACATCATGTAGATGAGTAAATGTTCTTTATGATCCTTCCCCAGATTGAGTCTGATATAGGTTCTTCTAGGTTAGCTTCCCATTTCAGTTTAAGGGAGTCCAAGCTGGACTCATGGAACTGAGCAGTGTATAAATGTTGCTGAGGGTCCCCTTAGTATTAGACCTGCACTCTAAAGTCTTAGCCACAAAAAGCTTAGAGAGGTACAAAGGAAAACCAGTCAGAGTTGGATCTCCCAAAATGTCTCCACTGCAGATATCTAAAAAAAATTGACTTGTAAATATTAAACTTTTGGACCAGCTGTTCAAAAGTATAAAGATTATTTTTAAAAGCTTGTGACACTGTGCAGTTGTTTTCTATTTGAGGATGAATCATTTAAAAATAGTTTTAAGTGTTTAAAAATTGTACAAAGATTTTAGTTTTAAAATCCAGATGAATGCCATGAAGTGAATCCTGAGATTTGAAGGTGCAAAAGTTCAGTAGAACATAACGGACCTTTGTTTAAGAAGCTGCCTTTTTAGCAAACAAACATAAACATCAGGGTTTTTTTTACAACAATAATAATGACATCATTACTGGATTGATTTTAAAGATAGCTGAGTGTTTTGTCAGTTGTGGGCAGAAACCATCGGCAGTGGGTGCTCGTATAAGTTACAGAAGTATAAGTGAAGAAAGCTATTTTTAAGCTCAGCAAATTGGTGAGGTTAAGGTTATGGGGAAAATACCTGCCACAGTAAAACCCCCTCGACTCATTTCTTTAATGCATTAAAGATTTGTAAATAAATTGGAAAGTTGAACCATTTGTAGAGGTAGTATGCTTGATTTTTTGTTGTCCTGTTATTTTTTTGTTTTACAGCCACCCTAATGTACATAAATACAGTAAAATATATATTTTCCTCCACAGACTCTTCTTTGTTATTGAATATGTAAATGGAGGAGATCTCATGTTTCACATGCAAAGACAAAGGAAACTCCCAGAAGAACACGCTAGGTAAAATCAGACTCTCGTGTATTTAAAGTCAGAGCGACAGATTGAATTTCATGTATTTTGCCAAAGTTGACGTGTTTTGAGTTTTTCAAATGTCCTCCTTTTGTATTTTTTTTATTTTTATTTTTAGATTCTACTCGGCAGAGATCAGTCTGGCGCTCAACTATCTCCACGAGCGAGGAATCATTTACAGAGACCTGAAACTGGACAACGTGCTGCTGGATTCAGAGGGACACATCAAACTTACAGACTACGGAATGTGCAAGGTGTTTTTATTTTATTATTATTATTATTTACACATTGAGTAATCTTGTGATGCCACAGCTGCACATGTACCCCTCTGAGATGAATTCAAGCGGATGATCTTCATGTTTTTGCAGGAGGGCTTGAGACCGGGCGATACGACATGCACTTTTTGTGGTACCCCCAATTACATCGCTCCTGAAATACTCCGAGGAGAGGATTACGGTGAGAATCACAACACATATTCGCTTAGCAGAAATATGTTTTTATAGTGGTTGCATAAAACAAACATGCTTGTAGACTCATCATAATCATTAAACAAATCTGATTTTATTGAACAACAACCAAATAGAAGGATGCATCTAGATTTCAACCCAAAACTACACCGGTACAAGACTGCCCTAACTTGGTACAAATTGGTTAATCGTCACATCCCTATTATACCAAGACAGTTGTGATTCGTCCCACCCCATTGAAATGCTGTCCTTTTTAAACTCATAATATACTGGATGGAAAAACCAATGGGGGTGAAAGACTCAATTTATGACTCAAAATCTGATGAATTGTAGTTACGGCAAAGGTTAGATGGAGTTTCAAGTCAAATATAACATGAGGCTTATCTCTACGTACATTCATACACTTACCATGATCAAATAAAAATAGAAGAAGCTCCCTGGAAACCAAAGTGGTATCATAGCGACAAGTTTCACAGCAATTAAAAACAATTTAGGCTTTTGTTTTCATTTGCTTTACTTCACATGACAAAATCGGCTGCTTACAAACACGGTTTCTAAGAACAATACTTTATTTCAACATGGGAATCATACTGAAGACATGTACAGAATCCTGGTTTTATCAAGTCTCATACAATAAGGAACATGATCCACATTAGTGCTTCGGTGAAAGTAAAGTTTTGGAAATTTTAGACCTAATTAAATTACAATAGTTCCTCCATTATCGCAGGGGTTACGTTCCAGACACCCTTGCGATAGGTGAAAATCCACGAAGTAGGGACGTTATGTTTATTTTATATATATATTAAGGCTTTAAAGCCCTTCACACACTCTTGAAATGTTCTTAACAATGTTCTAAACTCCTCTAAACGCTCTAAAAGAGCACATCGAAAGAGAGCAGACAGTCTGATTAATTCATTCAACTTTTATTTAAACAGGTTTGGCTTTTTGTCTCATGGGGATTAATTTACAATAGAGGCCTGTTTTTTAAAAAAGCCATAAATGAAGTACACACAATAAACATTCATATGAGAGCATGTAAAATGAAAAGTATTTAAAGAAGTGATGTAAAACAAATAAAAAAAAAAACATGCTACAGTTGATGCTACGGTTACTGAGCCAGTCAGTGCCAGCGGGCAGACTGGCCATCGGGGGCACTGGGACATTTCCTGGTGGCCTGGCCCGCTCAGTTATCGCCAAGGTGGTCTAAAGGCTCGGTTCAGGTCACGCTTGATTATTGTAAATAAACAATCCATGACGCTCACTCTGGTATCCGCCTAACTGAAGCTCCCACAGCAGCAATGGGGAAAGACAGACCCCGCCCCCTCCTTTCTCTTTCTGAGGCTATCTGTCACAGCAGAGCAGAGACACACAACGGGTTGCATGCCCTCCTGTTGTGTGTCTCTGCTCTGCTGTGACAGTCAGCCTCAGAAAGGGAGAGGACGGGGTCCCTCGGCTATCACTGAGTGGGCCAGGCCACCGAGAAATATCCCAGTGCTCCCAATGGCCAGTCCGCACCTCAGATAAAAGCTCTGGTTAGTCGCCTTCCATCAATCAGCCAATCATATGTCGTGTACAATTTTACGTTGAAAACACGCGAAAGTCGAACCACGAAGTATCTACTACTGTACTACTGTACAGAGTTTTGCAGAGGCCTGTTTGCACATATTCATTTGTGCTCACTTCAGGTGTGTGACTGTGCACAGTTTGGTCACATCACACATTTATATCAATTCATAAAAAGTTTCCTAAAACAGTGGCAGAAAACCAAAAAGTTGGAAGTAATAGTTAACTTTGAAGAATAAAATATGTTGGACTGAGACCTGAGGTTCGTTCTTACCAACAGATCCGGGTCAGAACTGACTGTCAGCTGCTTCTCGTGTTTTGTTTTTGTTGACTTTTGTTTACTTGTGTTTGTGCTTGAGTTACACACGCTCATGATGTACCCACTTTAAACAGGTTTTTTTTTTCTCCTACACATGTTGAACATTTTTATATTAATTTTAAAATAAAAAAATATTTTATTTACCTGTTTAGTGAAAAAAAAAATCACACAATGTTGCTCAGTGACCATTTCTTGAGCTTCACTTGAAACATTTTATAATTTCCCATCAAATTATTTAAAGCATTTTCATCCCTTATTGAATCATCAATGAAAGAGCGATGTTTACGTGACCAGATAATTTAGTTTAGGTGTGGAAGGATTCTTTCACACACTGATCTGTGCAGCCATATGCAGTGATTCACACAGGATTTATAATCATCCAAAACACGTCATTAGATGTCGGTGCATCCGTCTTTTTAATTGCTGTCAACTCACGCTTGTCTTTAGTTTCCTGGAAGTTTTAAAACTTCTTCGGCTCAGTTTTGCTCCCTTCGCGTCTCAAACACGAGCTGTAACAAACCGTGCGTGTGCGTCTCAGGGTTCAGCGTGGACTGGTGGGCGCTTGGTGTTCTGATGTTCGAGATGATGGCGGGCCGGTCGCCGTTCGACATCGTCGGCAGCTCAGACAATCCAGACCAAAACACAGAAGACTACCTCTTCCAAGGTAACGCGCACACGCACCCTGCTAAGACGCATCGTTGGAATAAAAAATAAAACTGCTGTGTGGAAGCATGCAACACCTTTTTATTAACAGCTTCAGTGGGTACCATCAACACACCATCTGTTGCAGGGAAATGTGTGAAAATATGTGTTTTCTCTGTATTTCATTATAATATGGTCTCCAAATATGTTTGTTTTTCTTAGAATAGCCACTAAGGTGTTAGATTTACAGCTTAATACACAATAGAAGACGTTATCGCAGGCCTGCTGTATGATGGGCACTGGGCTCCAAACTGTAGCAGTGTCAGTAACTTGTCATTTTATTTTTGTGCCAGTGAAGTCAGTCTGAGCATCTCATAATAGTTGTTCTCCTCCCTCCTCCATCTCTTTCCCACTCCCTGCAGTTATATTGGAAAAACAGATCCGAATCCCCCGCTCGTTGTCAGTAAAAGCTGCCAGCGTTCTCAAAGGATTCCTCAACAAGGTAAGCAGGGATTAGATAGGTCTGCGTTGGTCTTAAACAGTGTCCATTGCTCTGTTCGTCTGCTGTGATCTCTTACTGTCCTGCATTTTTCTTTCCTCCATCTAATTTAACTACGCCGCTCCCTCACTGTGGTTCTATTCATTTTATTATTATTTTATCCATTTTATTCACCACAGACTCGTGTTAGGGCTGCTGTTTTTACGCCGTATTATTTTACATTGTTAGTGTTTAGCGTTTATCTTAAATCTATTTTTGGGTGTAACTGGGACCCTGTGTACATAATTTTGTTCCACCTCCGACTTGAACTTGATTACTGTGCTTTTTGGAGGTTGGTATTAGAAGAAGGGGGATTTTTAAACTGCAAGATTTCAAGAAATTTACCGTAGTCGGTTTGGTAAACAAGTTCACGATTTTGTTTTCTTCTTTGCTCTTAAATCCCAACTTCAGATTTTTGTCAGTTGTTTGTTTTTAAGGTTTAAAATAACAATTAGGCCCAAAAACTAAAATAGCAGAGCTATTAATCTAAACTGCTCAGGGGGCCACAGTTTGTGAAAGCGAGCAGCTCAAGGGCTGGATATCCAGCGATTAAAGTCATGTAAATAAACTCAAGTTTTTCATTGATCTATTCCTTTTAAATGTGTTTGTTTTATTGCATTGAATCATAAATGCAATAAACAGAACAAAAAAAAAAATCATAAATAAATTTATGAACTCATTAGTGGACTGGACTGGTATCACTTGCGGGCTGGAAGTGGCCCACGGGCCGCTAATTGCATAGCCCTGACATATAGTTTTGCAGTGGTCCTAAATCACAATAGTCTAATAATTGGAGAACTTAAAATGTAACATTTATTGTATGTTTTATAATGGCTTCTTATGCTGCCCATTCTGCTTTGGTTCTGCTTAAATGTTCAGTTTCTTCTTGTGTTGCCTAAAACTGATAATTGTGCTCATCACTAGAGGCTCAGCAGTTCTTTTTAACAGAACCAGTGAATCCCTCAGGTTAAAGAGGATCGGTCACAGTTTGGGAACGCTCGTTTTCCATCTGCAGAGGTCTCAGCTTATTATTCAGCTCTGAGCGTGTGAACTTTATGTAAAAATGGTCACAACTGCAACTCGGTTTGTTCAAGCAGAACGAGAGAATAAGTGGTTTTGTAGCTTCATCAAAACTTAGTTTTTTATAAATGGATGTTGTTTTTATGTTGTCATACATCTCACATTTGATTATTATTTCTAAATAAAAGAACGGCATACTTTTAGTAGATCCATCTAATTTCCAGGACATGGTTGTAGGTTATTAGGTGTAGCTTATTCCAGCTGTGACGGTGTCGCTGGTCCATTAACGGATTAGTCGGGATTGTTACCACAGACATAGTTGCCCTGAAATGTGTTTGAAATATCAAGGTGAACAGGAAATCCACGCAGGCTCAGTGGGAAAGAGTAAACGTCACACAGAAAGGCTAGACCAGGACCTCTTTTTATTATTTTTTTGTTTTGATCAGTACAAAATAATAAAATAAGTCTGTTCTAGACTTTATTTTATTAAGAAGTAACTAAAAAAAAAGTCTTTAAGGCACTAATTAACTGTTTGAGTAGGAAGTTTAGATGAGAATTATTGTTTTAAGTATTATTAATGGTATTCTATTCTTTACACATTGAATCTTGACACATACACAATTTGTTTTTGTGCCAAACTCCCAAAGAATTAAATTGTATTTATTTATTATAGGTTTAAAAACTTGAGTTTTCCACTCCATCCTCCTCCTTGCTGGTTGTTTGACATGTGGTTGCTCCTCCGTCATCTCCCACCATCTCTCACCCTCCTCTCACCTTCACTCCCACAGGACCCCAAGGAGCGTCTGGGCTGCCATCCTCAGACGGGCTTCGGGGACATCAACGGCCATCCGTTCTTCCGAAACGTCGACTGGGAACTTGTGAGTGATTTAAACACAATGCTTTGTTTTCCGCTTTTGTTGTCTCTCTTTAACTTTTTTTGTCAGGAGTTGCGTCTTTTTTTTTTTTAATTTAACTTTTATTTAACCAGGAAATCCCATTAAGATCGTATCTCTTTTGTAAGGGAGGTCAGGGCCTGAAGGCAGTCTAAACATTTCTCTTGTTATTTAGTCTTCCTGATCATTTCAAATGATGGAGATGAAAATCACTGCAGGTCTGTTACTGAGAAGGTGGAAGACAGACAGCAGTATTTTGGGATGATGTTCTTCCCTTTCTGGCCTGCAGGTGTAGCCACTGTGAAAGAGCTGAGGTTTTTTAGCTGTGGACAGACTTGTGTTCTTGTTTAAAGCAGTTAACAGGCAGAAGACTGATCTACCCACTGAGGTTCCAGCGTTCAGAGAGGCTGCTCTTACTTCCTCTGAAACAGCGGTCTGTAATCTCCGATACCGAAAGCCACAGTTGACTGCATTCACAATGTTTCCTTTGACGGGTTCACCTCTACAGAAAATGTAATTCTCTGCATTGTCTTCTTTAAAAAGCTTCCAGCTGTAATTCTGCATACGGAACGGAGAGCAGCTAGAAATCAGCTCGCGTGTTTGGTATCACAATCACTCGGGAAGAACAGCAGTGAAATTTAATCTCCATCCAAAATTTTATTATTTACTTTTTTACTTCCTGTTTTCAGATCCAGCAGTGAGTAAATTAAATTTCATGGGTGGAATTTGGTTTTAATAAAACTATTTAACATAACTAACGCCAGCTGAGGCACCACTACCCTGTTTGTACGCAACAAATAAACGTAATGTTTTATTTATACCTTTTTTTTTTCTATTCAGAAAAAAATCGTTTCAGTCATGAACTATCTACAACATAAAAAGCCTCACATATTATTTGTTTAATTTAGCTTGAAATTAACAAAACACAGCTGTGAAGATGTTTTAATCACTCTAAAATGTTTAAATCTAGATAAAAGCACAATGTATGCTAGTTTGTTGCTCTATAGATACAGACTGTTGTGATTTAAATCATTTAGCGTGAAACCACAAAAGGATTAAGATAAGTTTTAAGATCTTCTGGTAATTGTATAGTTTCATTAGCGCCTGTGGAGAGGAGCGGCTGTACTTTTAGAGCTGCCCACGTGCGAAGGGTCACGTTTCAGCTCCAAAGGCAGACCGACGCGCGCTGGTAGACGACCGACAGCGGCCAGCTCAGCAGGGATCACCGTGACCTCCTTTTCCCTGTTTGGTCTGAGCGGAGACCCGGCAGTTGGTCAGAGTGTCTGGACAGATCAGCTTGCAAGTCCCCGCTCCTCCCCTCACAACACAAACACGAAAAGGAGAGCCTGTAATCCTCCCTCTGGCCTGCAGGGGGAGCACTCTTTGGCTTCCAAACCACAGGAGCAAGTCTGTTAGCTGTGATGGATGTGATCGCAGGCAGAGAGGCAGCAGGTGGAAGAACGAGTGACTCGAAAAGGTTTCGGTCAACGTCTAAGCTTTTTAGAAAACGTTTCTTGTTTCTGGAGACTTGATGTGAAATCCTGTGGTAGATGGTGTCTTACCAGCACCCTGAAGTCCAAACATGTTTATCTTAATCATGAAGAAAAAGCAGTAATCTCACATTTTCTAGTAGGAGAAGGAATCTTCTGACCTCTTACACTTTGATTTGATTGCTGTTCAAAAGTCCAGGATGTGATTTATAAAATGATTATTGATGCATTTCGATTATCATGTTTGTGAACAAACACCAGGAGGCAGCTGCAAATCCTATGATGTTTGGACAAAACATTATAAAACTGAAATACACTTTAAAACATGTTGCTCATGTGTGAATGTTTTATGAAGCATTCACACAAATGTGATCCATTCTTTCATTCGTTTTTCCGTCTTTCTCGTTCAACAAGTCAAATCAAAACGTTCAGCTCTTTCAGAACAATCCTGCTATAACTTTTGGTATTAGTGCACCTTTAGCTTTTTGTAATATTTAGACTTTTCTGTCTTTTTTTTTCATAGAAAATGAACTGAGCTCATTTTACATCCTTCAGATCTTTAGATCTGTTTACAACCTTTTACTGCTCCTTTCACATTTTGTCCTGCTTCAGCTTCTTTTAGCTTCCTTGTGCAAATTTAGACTTTTTTGCAGCTACTTGCAGCTAATTTCAGCTGTTTTTTCAGCTCTTTTGTGCTCCTTTCAGCTTCTTTTTGCTAACTAGATTTTTGCTCTTCTTCTAACTTCTTTCTGCTATTGTCAGCTTGTTATGCTCCTTTCAGCTTATTTTTGCAAGTTTAAGCTTTTTCTGCTATTTCAGCTACTATTTAGCCGTTTATGCTAATTTTAGCTTTTCCAGCTACTTCCACATTTTTTGCACTCATTTAAACTTTTTTCAGCCGAATTAATCAAAAATGTGCTCTCTCCACTTCCTTCTTGTAATTTCAGCTTCTTTTTGGGTTTTTCAGATTTCTATTTCAGATCATTTCAAATTTTCTTGGTATTTCCTGCAACTTTCAGCCTAATTAACTTTTTCTGCAAATTTCAGCTTATTATGCTCCTTCAGCTTTTTTTAGGTTTCAGCTTTTTCTGCCATTTCAGCTAATATTTAGCTGTTTTTATGCTAATTTTAGCTTTTTCAGCTAATTGCACTTTTTTTTAGCTCATTTCAGCTCTTTCCACTTCCTTCTCATAGGCTAAGCTTCTTTCTGCCTTTTTGGTTACTTTTACTTTTTAGATGTTTTTTGCTAATTTTAGCTTTTATAGCTGATTTCCTAATTTCTGCTCATTTAAACCTAATTAATCAAATGTGTTCTTTCTGCTTTTTCCTGCTAACTCAGACTTGTTCTTTCCTTTCAGCTACAATTCAGCATGTTTTTTTTTAGCTAATTTCAGCTGTTTTTCAGCAAGTTCTTCTGCAATAATCATTCTCACTGCATTTTCACAGAAAATGCAATTTCTCTAGTTGAAACTGATTCAGAACCTTCATGTCCGCTGATGTGATTAATTTAAAAACAGATTATAACCCCCCCCCCCCCACACACACACACACACACACCGTACTTTCTAGTAGCTAAACCTACAAAATGTTAGCTTTTATTTAGCTCATAATTATTGATCTTTCAACTTCTCACAGATGAATTTGTAACCATTTTTTTTTTTTTTTGTTTGTTTGTTTGTTTGTTTGTTTCAGCTGGAGCAGAAGCAGGTGGTCCCTCCGTTCAAGCCCAACATCTCAGGGGAGTTCGGGCTGGATAACTTCGACGCCCAGTTCACCAATGAGCCCATCCAGCTCACGCCTGATGACGAGTGCGTCACCTCTTCATCATGTTTACAGCTTTTACTTTAAATTCATCCATACCACTTTGCTCCTCTTCTTCCCTTTAAAAAAAAAAAAAAATGAATTCTTCTTTTTGTTTTAGGGATGTGGTGAAGAAGATCGACCAGTCTGAGTTTGAAGGCTTCGAGTACATCAACCCCCTGCTGATGTCTGCAGAGGAGTGCGTGTGAGAGACCTGACCCCTGTCCTCATGAACACCACCCACGCGCGCGCACTTCTACTACGAGTTTACGTGGCGTCTCAGTGTCTTCAAGCTGCATGGTTACGAGACGACCCGGCGACGTCAGCCTTTTGTTCCAGGGCCGTACATGCACACCAGAACGCTTATTTGCCAAAACCAGTTTCACACTCTGCCATTTATGACCACTTGCCCTTAAACCTACTTTCTTTTTTTTAACTTATTTTTTATACGCCGTGTAAATCTTCATTATCAATACTCTCATTGGGGCCTCTCCTTCAGTAAACACCGTAGCCACAAAGTTCTTCCAAGGTTGCTGTACGTGGGGGGTGGGAGAGAAGAGTCATGGCCCCCGACAGACTGAGCATCACTCCTTTCAGCTGGCGGGGTGTTTTCAATGCAGGTTTTATTTGTAGATATATATATATATTAAAAAAAAAAAAGAAACTGCTACTGAGGACGACCGTTAGACAAGGCCTTTTTAGCTTCAAGCCACAGTTGACACTTTAAATGTCACTTTTGAATTAGCTTTGTCTTTATCCTTCTTTAGAAAATTAAAACAATATAACACTAGCCTTTAATAAAGATGAAAATCTATATATTTTCTCATATTTTATTTAACATAATGTCAGTCGTAAGTGTTACAGATCCAGCCTGAGTAAGTGAGCTAGGTTAGCGCTCAAAATCTGGAAAATCAGAGCTTCAGGTCCCTTCTCCCACAATGAAGGAAATTAAACGGAAGTATAATATTGAGTTTGTTCTTAAAACTGTGAATGAAAGAGCTGTCGGGAAACGGGCTGGAGGAATAGCACAAAGTACCTGAGCACCAGAGCGCAGGTTTAATGTCATGCAGATTTTTCCACAAAAAAAAAAAAAAAACTCACAGGACCAAAAACATTTTTATGAAAAATGTATTTGCCGGTACTTGTTAGCTGGTACAGTATACATGAGGAAATGTGCTGTCCTAGGTCATAGAATTTATATATTCAGATTATTTTCTTCGCTGGTTTTTTTTATTACAATGCCTTTCTGAAACGTATGTTCTGTTGTTTTTGTATTTTCTTCGTTCTAGTTTTGTTGTAAATCCAAAAAAAATAAATAAATAAAACTAGAATACTGTTGAGACGAGTCCAAACCTACAACATTGAGAAGTTTTTAATCCTGAAATGTGGCTTTAAAATGAACAGTTCTGCTTCTTTTTTTTTTTTATTACTTGCAACGCAGAATTAGATTTTTGAATTAAATGTTTTATAAAACAGCTTTAAAGCGAACAAAATCCCCGAACAACGACCTTCCATCATCTGAATGTCACACTAAAGCCAACGATCCGTGTTTGTTCAGAACATATTCTGGTCATTTTCATCTGTTACACCTTTTTGCTTTATTTCTTCTGTAAATTCAGACTTAAATATGAGTTGTTTTTCTTTATCACTACATTGATTCCAAAATGTTAAAGGGTGAACCCGATAGAAACACTATTATTTGTGTTTGTTTTGTCTTTTGCAGATGTTCACCATCTGCAGGACTTTATTTTTAGTGCTTTAAAGAAGAAGAAAAAGAAAAAAAAAAAAAAAACACTGATGGTAAAATAAACATTTTATTTCTCTTGTGGTAAAATGTGTGCGCTGGTGTCATTCGGATTTTCTCTGGCTTTTTTGTAAAAACAACAATTTGCATGTTCGGTCATATTGGAGCTGCTTAAATTTTACAAAAAGTCCTTATTTCAAGTTGTTCCTTGAACTCAATTTATCGCACACCTGGCAGATTATTTATTTTCATTTAAATATTGCCCTTTAGAAACAAAGCGTCATCCTGTAAGACTTGAGTGGACGTAAGAATTGGATTTCCGGCGATCAGCTGACACGAAGATGGCTCTGCACGAGAAACTCGTGTCACGGTTCTGGTGCAGCAGTCACATGCGTTCCATCTGTAAACCCAATGAGCTCACCGGATGACACAGACCTAGATGGCTTTGAGCATAAGGTGGCATTTTGTCTGGAATTTGAATTAATCAGTTGAAGTTTCCAGATGTTTGCACTTGAACACAAAGAATACCTCTTTAAAGATACGGGTGCACAAAATTTTTGCCTCTTATTAACTGAATGAGTGAAAATCATTAGGATTCATATTGAAATTACCTGTTTTTGTAGTGATTTTTCTGTTAACATTTAGACATTAAGAGTAGTTAGACAGCCATGCAGGACAAGTCCTATAAGGTACTAAAACTGGACCTTGTTGGACACGTGCAGAACTTTGTTTTTCTGCCTTCCGTCAGTTTTACTGCAGGGATTTAATCTGAGCTCCCACTGGGCTTCCTGCAGCGAAAGGAATTAAACTGGATGTGTTCAGCTCGAGCAATGTCCCTCAGTCTCCTCTGCTGGTCATGTGACTTCTGTGGCTTTCAGAGGCCTCTGGGGTGAAAAGGTCATTGATGGCATCGCTCTCTGCCTCAACACAGCGCAGAGTTGGGTGATAAAAGGGGCAATGGGAGCAATTTGTCAAAAATGACTAGAGAAATGGCATTTTCTGTGAAAATACTCTGTTTAATAAGCTGAAACTGAGTTGTTAAAGTTTAAAAATTCAAAGCACTAGCTATAAAAAGCAACACTACCTAAGCTATAGTAGTAAATAGGCTAGCTTAAAGTAAAATGGCTAAACATAAAAAGAGATATTTAATTCATAGACTTTTATTCCTGTGGGTTTTTTTAATGAATTGAAGAAATCTCAATGTATTTTTGAGGAAACATTTTCAATATTTTGAAAAGTATAAATCACAAAAGTCAGCATTCATCTTCGTTTTGAGTAGCCAAAAAAAAAAAAAAGCACAAAGTGTGCAGAAATAGATTTTTTTGAAAAAGCACACAAAAAAAATGTCTATAGTATTGTTAATGTTAAATCAGCATTCACAGAACTGTGTGGTCCCAAACCTGGTTAAATGATAAAGGTTGTATTAGGACGGGCATCCAACGTAACCCACTTTGTCAAAACTTATCTGTGAGTTCATCTAAGTGACATCATACCAGATTGGTCAAGGCCCGGATTAACAATGACCGTCACAGGTGCTGTTGACAAACAGGGTGCCGGCGGAAATTTTGCTGCTGTTAGTCGAAGACCACGAGGAGGGAAACATGTCAGGAGAAGAGGGAATTCAAGAATGTAGGACTGAGGGTTGCAACTCTAAATGTGGGGACAATGACAGGCAAAGGTAGAGAGCTGGCTGACATGATGCAGAGAAGGAAGGTAGATGTTTTATGTGTCCAAGAGACCAAGTGGACGAGCAGCAATGTTCAGATCATTGGAGCAGGATTTAAACTCTTTTACCATGGTGTGAATAAAAAGAGGAATGGAGTAAGGGTGGTCCTGAAGGAGGAGTTAGCAAAGAACGTACAATAGTAGAGATGAAGAATATACAGTAAGATAGGGTGATGTGTCTGAAGGTAGAAGTAGAAGGTCTGGTGCCAAATGTTTTCAGTGGTTATGCTCCACAGGTTTGATGTGATGTAAAGAAGAAAGATAAATTTTGGAAGGATCTGGATGAAGTGATAGAGAGTATTCCTAGGGAGAAGACAGTGGTGATCAGAGCAGACCTGAATGGACATGTTGGTGAAGGAAACGGAGGGGATGAGGAAGTGATGGGTAGGTTTGGTGTCAAGGAAATAAACCAGGAAGGACAGATGGTGGTAGATTTTGCCAAGAGCATGAAAATGGCTGTAGTCAACACTTATTTCCAAAACAGGGAGGAACATAGAGTGACCTATAAGAGTGGAGGAAGGAGTACGCAGGTCGACTACATTCTATGTAGAAGAGGAAACCTGAGGGAGATTGGAGACTGTAAGGTTGTGGCAGGGGAGAGCATGGCCAGACAGCATCAGATGGTTGTGTGTAGAATGACTGTTGTTGTGAAGAAGAGGAAAAAGAGGAAAATCAGAGAAGACCAAATGGTGGAAGATGAGGAAGGAAGAATGTTGTGAGAAATTCAGAGGGGAGCTGTTAAAGGCTCTGGGTGGTAAGAAAACTTCCATATATGACTGGGCTACTATAGCAACAGTAATAAGAGACAGGTAGGAGGTATTTGGTGTGTCATCTGGACAGAGAATGGATGATAAGGAAGCCTGGTGGTGGAATAGTGAAGTGCAGGAAGCTATTCAAAGTAAAAGGTTAGCCAAAAAAGAAATATGACAGTGAGAGGACTGAAGACAGGAGTATCAGGAGATGCAATGTAGAGCAAAGAGGGAAGTAGCAAAGGCAAAGCAGAAGGCGTACGATGAGCTGTATGGGAGGATGGACACTAAAGGTGAGAAGGACTTGTATGATTGGCGAGACAGAAGGATCAGGCTGGAAAGGATGTGCAGCAGGTTAGGATTGTTAAAAATAGGAATGGTAATGCTCTAACAAGTGAGGAGAGAGTGATGGAAAGATGCAAGGAGTATTTTGAGAAGTTAATTAATTAAGAGAATGAAGGGAAAAGAAGAGTATAAGTCATAGAAACTGTGGACCAGGAAGTGGGAAAGACTAGTGAGGGTGAAGTTCAGAAAGCTCTGAAAAGAATTAAGGCAGTCGGACCTGATGATGTACAGTGAAGGTCTCTAAATGTCTAGGAGAGATGGCAGTGAGGTTTTTGACTCAAATATTCAATGGCATATTTGAGGGTAAGAAAATGCCTGAAGAATGGAGAAGTGTGCTGGTGCCCATTTTTAAGAGCAAGGGTGATATACAGAGTTGTAGCAACTACAGGGAACTTTATTGTGTCTTTGTGGATTTAGGAAAAGCATATGATGGTGCCGAGGGAGGAGGTAGAATAGAAACAGCCTTTATTGTCCCACGGATGGGAAATTCCAGTGTATCAGCAGCAACAGATAAAAAGATAAAAAGATTTCACACAAAAGTTCCTAAAATGTTAATAAACAATACAATATATAAGAAATAAGTTAAACAATATCAATAATAATGTTCAATATGTATTGGAACATTGAGAATGGCAGACTATTTACAGTACAGTATTATAGGCAGAGTGTGTGTTTTAGCAGAGGTCATCGTGTATTTAATCCTTATTGAGTCTGTTGGGAGCAGTGGTGGTTGTAGAGTCTAACAGCTGCTGGGAGGAAGGACCTGCGGTATTGCACGAGGAAATGTGGAGTGGCAGGGAAGTATGTTAGACTGGTACAGGACATGAATGAGGACAGCAGGACAGTGGTGAGATGTGCTGTAGTGACAGAGAGATTCAAGATGGAGGTGGGAGTGCATCTAGTATCTGCTTTGAGCCCCTTCTTGTTTGCACTGGTGATGGAGCGACTAACAGATGCGATCAGGCAGGAATCCCCATGGACTATGATGTTTGCAAATGACATGGTGATCTGTGGTGAGAGCAGGGAACTGGTGGAAGAGAACTTGGAGAGGTGGAGGTATACGTTTGAAAGAAGAAGAATGAAAGTCAGCCGTAGTA